TGCTTTATCCTATACTGAATATTTTGCATGTGGAAGGAATGGAAACAATTGTGCACAGAGGGTGAAATGTAGTCCGGTAATGATATCCATCCTGGAATGGAGGTACAGAGTCTGTTCCTCTAGTTCCTGCATGTGAGCTAGGAGGGTGGCTTGTTCTGACCAGTAGAAGGGCGCGTAAAGGACATGGTGTGAACTGGAATCTTGGTCTTGGGGGCCTGTAGCTTGTTTTGCTCTTGTAGAACCTTGTGCTGAGTGAGGGAAGCTACACAAGGAGACTGGGAAAACCCTCTGGAAGATGAGCGGGCATGTCAAAAGAACCATGGTACCCTGTCTGGCGGCCATGTGTGTGTGTGGGCACCACGGAGCCCAAAAGAATGCGCCAGCTAAATGCCATCCCACGAGGGGCCCAGGCCACCCACAGAATAAGGAGACACAGTACCTCTCTGGGTTTCAAACCCCTAGGCTGTGAGGTGGTTTGTTTTGCACAAACACTCCGTTTCATTCAAATCCAAAAATTCATAGAGAGGCCAAATGCAAGAAAGTTGCCAAAACTTTAGTTTTAAGGCCTTGTTTTGAAGGCTATAGTTGGACAAAAAAGAAATAGCTTACTTTTTGGACTAAATTTCCCTTTCTTGTGGGACTGAGAAAACTTGCAGAGAAAGAAGTTTTCTCCCTGCTTGCGCAGATGAGGATTATAAAGCAGAGGAGCTGCAGTTAATGAGGCATTATTGAAGGTCTTTCCTGGACATTGCCTTTGAGATCTTGGGAGGAAGTAGGCTTCATTCATCCAAAGAACTGTAAGTTGCTGAAAATATAACCGGGTTTGTTTCTTAAGAGGAACAAAGTTTTCTTTCAACATTCTCAGGCTGTGGTCCAAGCCAAGGAAGAGCACAGCCACAGGCCAAGCATGAGAGCAGGGTGGACTTCCCTTTGAGACCGTGTGCCTCTTCCGCCTGGCTGCCTGTGGCAATGGAGGGTCTGAGTGCACGTCAGGTCCTCTCTTGCCTCTTGTCCCCATAGGGCTTCCTTACTTCCCCCACCCCCCACTCTGCTCTGCTCTGCTCACTCTCCCAGGGAAAGGCCTTGTTTATGATCAAGTGACAAATGAATGGAGACTAAAAGGCCAAAATGGAGGCTCCTGCTGCTTTTCTGTTACCATTGAAGTGTGATTCAGGACCCTCCTGGGACACGGGTTAATCATTTTAATGGCTTGCTTCTCCTAGTGAAATCAAATTTAGTGTAATTTAGAGGACTGTAGGTGACATAATAATTGATTTCTGGTCACACAGTCAAATAGTTCCATTATTCAAAATTTTGTTTAAACAGGTTTCAAAAATATTATTTATCATTCTCAGAACATTAGCTGCCAAAAAAGAACCTTTTTTAAAAGTGAATTTTCAAATGCACACTTAAGAGGCTCATGCAGTACAGAAGGGTGTGGAGGTGGCACCCTCGTCCCCAGACCCTGTCCTCACAAGGACTGAGAGCAGGAGGCCTCTTGGAGTTCAGAATGCATCCCCACTGCCCACTGATCACACACAAACACCCCTCCGCTGAGATTGTTTTAATTATTTCCTTTGCAGTCCTGAGTGAAACACACAAGGGTCTTGGGTCAAGCTCCCTAGAAAACAAACCCTAAAGCGAGGACTAAGCCCTGATGGTTTATTTGCCAGGTCCAATGCTGGGAACTGGGAGTGATGAAAAAGAGGAGCCGGAAGCAAGGAATGCAGGAAAGCAAGGCAAGGGGGCTGTTGGTTCTCTGTGAGACCCAAAGAGACAGCCAGTCCCTCTGCAGCAGGTGTCTTCTCAGTCACACAGGGCAGAGGATGGAGAAACCCAGAACACAGAAAGAAGGAAGTGGGTTGACTGCTCAGCTGCTCCTGTTGAGTCCTGCTTGGCTCCACAGTGATGTAAATCTCCTGCTCAGGAAGCCAGTGCCTGTGCCCTGAGTGTGTCTTGCAGTCTGGAGGCCATGACAGAACCCCGACTTCAGTATGCGTCTCCTCCTGGTTGCCTGGCAGCAGACTGGCACAAGTGGAGGTGGCAGCCATTGGTCTGGTCTAAGTAGCAATAAGGCTTCGGTCCAGCAGAGCCAGCGTGGTGGCTCCCGAGCTTGAGTGGCAGCTGGACACTTGGGAGAAGGGTGATAGCACGGAATGAGTCGGAGGAGGATGTAGGCTATAATCAGTCGGAAGATAACCTGCACACACTCGAGACTTCTACAAGTTACCATCTCCTAAGTGCAAGGTAAAGAACTTGTTAAAAGGGACAGTACTGACAATAAAATAATATGCATTTCAGTATGGAGATGCTGGGGTACCACTGGACTAGGAAATAAAGTGAAGTAGCCACATACAGGACTTCTGTTGACCGGTGCCAGTAGGAAGCAGCAGTGAAGGGAGGTTTGTGATGAGGATCCAGGGATCGCACGCAGACCTGCTTCTCGTTTGTGAAATATTGGCAAGCTCTGGGAATGTCCTGAGCAAACCAAACCCTCAATCTTTCTTCCACATACGTGGCAGTTGCTTATTTACAAAATTCAGAACATATTGAATCAAAATATCTTCATGTATAAAATGAAGTCAAGGTCTAAGCTCAAAGCATAACGAATGGGATTTTCACCTGCATGAATCTCGGAGGACACACACAAAATTTCGATTGGGAAGTGCCCATCTGACATGGAGTGGCACCAGCAGGGTGTCTATCAACTCTGGCCCTTGCTCGTTGGACACTTAGAGCAGGTTTCCCCCTCCAATCACTGTGACACCCACACAGCACTAACACACACTTCCCCATTGCCCGCGGGCTGCAGGGAGGGGGTATTGTGATTCCTGAAGACTGCTCTCAGTGGAAATACAAATGGGAGATGTGCATCTCGCAGAGTCTGCACTTGGAAGTTTCATCCTTACCGCCACTCATAGTTGTAGAATATTGCAACGTGGCTGTGTGCCAGGATTCAAGGGGCTATTGATGTCTTCTCACTTTTCAGCCTCGTGCTACAAACAGTCCTATGAAGATGATCCTTATACAGTAGTCTTCGTGCACTTGTATAATCACATCTCTACAGTGAATTCCCACAAATCAACAGGTACATGCATTTAGAAATTTGTATGGCTATTACCAAATTGCCCGCCAAATATATACCTATGATGGCTGCATAAATGTGTCTTTCTTTCCATCACCCCTCATCACTAGGTATTGCAGAAGGTTTTAATCTCGGTTAACTGGTTCTTTAAAGATGAACACGAGGAATTTTAAAGCCATTTCCAGCTCATTTTACATTATGTAGTAGTTTCCACCTTGACTTGCCTCTGTATTCAGGATGTTCACGTGGAAGAGAAATTGGACTGTCACTGTTTTCCAGAGCAAAGCCGGGGTCAAGACTGGAGGTTGGGAAGATGGAAGTTTTGGCTCTAAGAATGTCAGACCTTGCAAACAAGCCCAGCCAGCCAGCAACGGAGGGGGCCTGCTTGGAGAGATAAGAGCTCCTCCTCGGAGCAGGAACTTCTCAATTTCAGGTTGGATGAGCAATTTAAGATGTTCAAGAAGAGATTCCTCAGTTTAGTTACAAGGTCAACATTTCTCACAGCATAGTACTTGGACCGTGGTGTGTGTGTGTGTGTGTGTGTGTGTGTGTGTGTGTGTGTGTGTGTAGCTTTAGGTGGTACAAACTTTTGAAAAAATTCTGATCGGTGCATATTCATTTTTCTATGTATATATACTATGTTGCTATGTTACTAGCAAATTACACAGCTTAATATACAAAGGTAGTCCTGCTGGAACTATAATTTGGCCATAAATATCCTTCCTGACCTTAGCATCTTTTTCAAAACTAAGATTCTACAGTTCTAATCTAATTTTGATACTATTAAAGTTTCAACTTGTAAAAAGACTTCCAAATTCCAGGGGGCTGCATTTACTGCAAGCCAACCGTGGCACACAGCAGAGAATTTGAGCATTTGCAGATGTGTGTACAGGTCAGAGCCTCTCAAAACAGTTTAAAAGGAGAGCCCTAAGCCCTCTGTGAGAACCTATCCTGAAACTATAGTCAACTTAATGATTTAAGGACAATACTAATATTTTAGAGTCATTAAGGTTTGCTGCAATGGGATCGAGCCTACATATATTAAATGAATTTCTGGAAAAAACACATGAAAAATTGCTAGTGGCATCCCCCTTCCCCATTAGCACATCCAATCTCGGCAGCAGGATTCATCTTCATAGTCCTCTGTGACTATCATAAAACTATGATCCAGTCTGCTGTGTTACATATTTAGAATATAACTTTATGCACTGAAAATCAGGTGAATATTTAGTTCATATATAAATTGTACATGATGTTCACGGTGCTATAAACAGGCACATTTTTTAAAAGAAAAAACTCAATGTACATCCAAAATTACTCCCTCACCCCAGCCTATTCTGATTCCTTCTGTCGATATGGAACATCTAATAGTCATAAAGTTAATCCTGTCTAGGGCCGGGGATTTGGCTCAGTGGTTTCGCTGCCTGCTGCACAAGTGCAAGGACCCGAGTTTGATCCCCATACCAAAAAAAAAAAAAAAAAAAGTTAATCCTGTCAATTGATAGAACTAACGAAATGCCTCTGCCTGGGTATTTTGTAGGAAGTCTACGGTTTCATTTCTCCTACTTAATTCCAGCCGCAAAGCCTTCATGTCAGTGTCCCTATTGGCCTATGCAATGGCTTCTAGAGATGTCACACTCTTCTGTAACCAATGGATAGCTTGCCACCAAGTACAGATTAAAACATCACTTAATTGTATTGCTGTTCATTTAGAGACCAGCACTGTGAGTTGATCCACAGAACTGAGTACAGAGCAACTTGGAAAAAACCCAATTCTCCAAAACAATGCGAGCGCTTCATTCTCCCTGACTCACACACTATCTACACTCACCACTTTGTGTCACACACACACACACACACACACTACCACACCTCAAGCAGCTATTAGAAATGAATATTAGAAATGGACTCAAAGTAGCCACTCAGATAGGATACATTTTTAATTGGGAGGAAAAAAATGATTCATATACACAATTCTTTTAGTAAAAGTTTCTACTTCTTGCTAATAACACATTTTAATTTGCCCCAGAAAATGCATTAATTTTCTTCAAATATGTTTTTCCTAAAATATAAATATTTAAATTAAATTTTTATAAATGTAGAGGATATAGTTTCTGTTGGCTCTCACATGGGTATCAGTCAGTCCAAAACTTCAGCACTGAGGAAATATTTGCAACTGTGATTATTTTAATTTGTCTATAAATATATAATAGAATCTTTGCAACTTAATCAAGAACGATTAACTCATACTTCATGTAGTACCGAGCACCTTAAATTACATATTGTTGAATTAAACTATTGGCATTAATATATGTATTTTAATGTGTTATTTACAATAGACAAGTAGAATTCTCTTGTATAACAACATTCCAGAGATTTTGAAAATATATAATGAAAGAGTATAATTTACAAATGCTTCAATGCTTTCCTACAGTATTTAAGCTGGGATTTCATTCTTCAGCATTGGAAAACAGGAAACAAACACAAAGTCAATATCCTCAAGCTGTTTTTTTTAAAGGATTATTTTTTTTTAATAAGGGATCAAAAATGATCAAGATAAGCTATATACATGTACCAAGTCCCCAAAGCAAATGTAGCTCTTATGTATTGCAAACATACACTTCAAACGGAACAGAAAAAATGCTAGCTTCAAAACTGTTCTAGTGGGAAGTAAGGAGTCCTGAAGGTTAACTCAGGGACAGTGCACCAGACACCAGAAGCATCACAATGGACGTTAAAGTGTGGAGGAGGCCAGCAACCATGAAATCTGGTTAACATGTTTTTAACTCAGTATTTAAATGCAGATTTTTATTACCAAACCCCTATATGAATGATATTCTGAGAGATGATTTAAAATAAAACTGCAACTCAATACACATGCATGTCTGAGGGAGCAAGTTTGCATCCCTTAACCAAATGACTTTTAAACCTCTTTGGACTGGCATTTGCTAAAATACAATGCTTAAAACACAGGTCTACAATGTACATTTGTCTGCGTAAACTACAGGGAAAGAGGTGTTAGAAATGCTTGCAGAAACTCCGGGGCTACCTTCCAAGGTTTGAGAAAATGACTCTAACATCAGACAATGGGTGTTACTTTTAGTGAGTAAATCATGATAGGTAAAAACAGAAGCATTAAGCTTATCTGTGATGTGCTTTCCATTGTCCCAAAATATTTTCTAGAAAAATATCAGGTCATTATATTATTTCCCTGGGATTTGAAAAGAGCTGCAGATGCCATCGGTAGACTGGGTTATAGGGATGGGCTTAGGTGTAAAACTCCGCATCTTCCAGAATTCCGTGAGCCTTGCTTGGAAATGCATGCATACAAGCACAGGGACAAACAAAGGGTCACCAGCTGCTCGGGACTTCACAGAAAATCAGGACATGGGGACAATTAGTTACCCTCAATCATGTTCTTATGTGTGTGTTTGTGTGTGTGTGTACACACATATATGATGACGACCTTTAAAAAAACATAATTTGCTTTCCATAAATTAAGCTATCAGTCTTGGCCATAAGAGAGCATGGTGTGAGTGTTCCCCCAGAATTCATCATCTTTTGTGCACACAGCTCTTCAGCAAAGCTTTGCAATTTAAGCAGTGTACTCTGGCTCTGATTGCACCAGCTTCCAGGTCAGATCAGTATCTGATGTGTTATTCAATTCCCGCTCAGCATATGCTAATGAGAACACTTTGGAATCATTCTACACCACTGACAGATAACTCAGTGAGGAAAAAGCTAACAGCTGCTTCCCACTTAAATAAAAGGTGGGCTTCTGTTTGGAGAATTTTTCTTTTCCTACCAGTGAAAATCAACTAGAATTAGGACATAAACTGCAATAAGACAAGGGATCATTGTTATTGGGGTGGGGCAGATAGGTGAAAATATCCATTTCCCATCTATTCAGCTCTTGCTTACCTGGGAGAATCAGTTGCCTAGAAACTGGTCCAAGATTGCACCTGCTGTTCTAACGGCCTTGTCCTTGGCTGTCATCGTTTAGAAGCTATGCTGTGTACCCCGACTCGCCTTCCCCTTCTCAACCTTGTCTGCTCTGAGAAGTGTTTTTCTGATGTATCTCGTGGTGTTTCTTGGGGTATCCCCGCACCCCTTGTGGTTGTGGATGGAGGAGCTGGGGAATCACCCGACTGCTGAGACCCGGAGCTGGCCCTGGCATGCTACATCTGGTGCTTGGCTCCCGACAGTGGTGTCCGGTGTCACAATCTTTGGCGGCATCCCAGGGCTCCCTTTCTAAGGCAAGTCGCCCCTCTGCTCAAGCCACCAAGCCAAGTCTTGCAATCTTAGCTGACAGGAAGGAATGAATGATGAAAACAATTGGCTTGGGGCAGGAATGAAGGTCCAGTTGCTGAAATTAGAAAAGAGAGAGAGATTAAATGAATGCTTGATTTAGAACAGCGATTTACACATCAAACGAGTCCATATGCACTTCCAGCTTTTAAGTGTTAGCTGTAGCAATTATGCTGTAAAATCATTGCCCTCAATGAGATAAAGGAGCAACTCCGAACTCGTTCCTTACATCTCATATATCTTTCTAAAGTAAGTTCTGTGAAATTTATCTATACCAATCCCATAAATACTGATGTTGCCCTTTTTGACTGTAGAAATCATTCATTTCTGGTTCCACAATGGTGATGTTGATGCAGGGTGTGGTACAGCAGGAAGCAGTACTAGATCTCCTATCCCAAGATTACTCTGAGTCCTGGTTTTGACTCTTCTGCGATGTACACTCTTGGCCAAGTCTCTTAAAATTCCTCCCAGTCCCTCTACCACCCAGGAGAGCTGGGGGCTCGCTAGGCGCTGCATGTGATGCTCCCTGCAAACTGGGAACACAGAGCCCACGCTGAGCAGCTGTGTCCTCACAGCCCCGCACTCTTGAACGGCTGCAAACACGTGTGCCATGTCTCTGTGACAGTGACCTCTCCTCTCAGTGGGGTCCCTACAGGACCCAGCCCACGCGCTGTCAGATGGAGAAAGTCCTTCAGAAGCTGACTCCTATCACCGGGCCTGATTTAGGAGTGAGAAGGCTCATTTCCGATTCTCTCCTGATGTCCCCCAGTTTTGTTCTAATGATGACACTATTGGAGAATAAGAACAATGAGCGTACAAGAATATTTATTTACCAAAGAGTGTACTCATTGTAAATCAGGTGCTGTGCTACCCATTCTGGTATCTAATTCTCCTCATAAAACCCCTATGAGGTGGCTATTATTTCCATTTTTATATGGAAAAGTTAAGATTTACAGACATAAAACTTTCTCAAATCATCTATCTTGCAGTAAGTAGAAAGTGAGGACTCAGACATAAGTCTGTCTGATGCCAGTCAGGATTTAACACATTCCTGCGGCTTAGACCATGGGGGTACATGGGTGACTATTTAGTTGGGCAGCTTGTACCACCCGATGGGACTGTCCCATGCCACCCAATGGGACAGTCACACAGGTAGCAGGGTGGTTCAGAGCCGCCCACAGCTAGATGTACAGATTATGGCTCCCTTGTGACTGTGTTAACCACCATATTCTATGACACTAGCTCAGAATGTGACTTTCAGAAGTGACATTAAAGATTATCTCCTTCAATCCCTGTATTTTATGGAAGGGGAGACTCAGATTCCAAGAAATTAACGGACTTTCCCGAGACAGCTGGGGAGTTGTATGCAAGCTCAGAAAGAGAATCCAAGAGAACCTGACCCTCAGTTTATGGTGTTTGCTACAACCCCACTCCGTTCCCCACATGGGAAGGTGGCTGCCTGCCTACCGGCCTAGGGCTGTGTCTGAACGATGCAGCAACCTAATATGCCAGTGGTTAAAAAAGAAAAAGCTCAACTGGAGACTGGATAAAGAAGATGTGGCTTTTTAATAAAATGGAATACTACTTAGCCATAAAGAATGAGAAACTAGAGACATTTATAGCCAAATGGATGCACATTGAGGCCATCCTCCTAAGTGAAATAAATAGGACACGTGTGTAAATACCAAATAGTTTCTCTAGTGTGAAAAACTAAAAGTGTAAATAAGAATTAAAATGTATAATTGATATTGTGAAATAGAAGAAAATGTCTAAAGGAGTAGGGGAAGTGGGAGGGGGAGGGAAAAGGAAAGAAGGGAAAAGAAAAAATATGAGAAAAGGAAAAAATGGAAACAAAGTCTTTGTAAATAGGGAAGGGTGGAGGGGGTGAAGGGAGGGCAGGGGAAGGGGAAAAAATAAGAACCAAGATGCATCATGTAAAGGTACAAGATCCCAACAATGAATGTAACTGTATTGTACACCTAAAATGTACCAATAAACTAAATGGAGAGAAAAAAAAAGAAAAAGCTCCACAAAAACGGTCCTTCTTAAATCTTCGAAGTCAGGTTGTAATTACAGGCAGAAAGGCTAAAATTTAGACAGAAGTGATTTTCCTCTTGGGCAAAAATAGCCTTGAGTTTTTAAGCCAAGGATAAAACAGGAGACTGATTCTTGTTCTTTTCCACGCTGTCGGAGAGCAGTCACCTTTAGGGAAAAGGATGCAGTGAGGAGATTGATAGAGCAGCAAGAGAGCCGGGAGGATTCTTAGGGAAATGGGCTTTTAAAACACTACTGCATTTCCAAACAGGCACTTTGGGCTGCGCTTCAAGATTGAAACTCACAAATAAACAAACAAAAAAATCCCAGTGACATTTCGAGGCTGCCTTGCAAAGGTTAGAACAATGGCTGGCTGGCAACTCAGAAACAGAGTGGAAGTGGCTGTCATGGGGCATGGACTTTGTCACGACTGCCCTCAGCAAGCTGCTCCTGCTGTGGGGTCGCCACTGTCCCTCGACCCAGAACAGTGCTGTAACATTTGGCGGTGAAAGGCCCTTGGCCTCTGTCAAATGTATACCCGGCCCTTTCCTTCCATGGCCCCTTTTAGGTGACCCCTAACAGTCTCCAGAAGATTCCCAACATGTCCCACTGAAGAAATGACTCATAACTGTGGAGAGAGGAGCAGAGAGATGGGGGCAGAGAGCCCTGGCCAGGTGGAAAGGCTTAGCTCTGCTTCCTTACCAAGGAGACATCAACAACTACTTGTTGACTAATCCAGGAGGACCTGAAGAGAGACCAGTTTGTACAAAATCAGGGGCCTCTTTGAAGTTCCGGGCTTGACGGCTTGAGTGAGATGCTACGCCTTCCTGAGAATTGCCAAGAACTCAGTCTGAAAGAGAAAAGTGCACCCTTCTCTTACTCTGTAGAGCTGAAGGAGGGGTCTTTTCCTTTAGGGCAGGCAGCAACCATCCCAGGAAATCATGCGTTGAGGCATATGGGCTATTTGCACTGCTATGAGAAGTATGCTACCTTACTGGATAAATCTGCTGTGTTGGACATTACTGAACCTTAGTCCCAAACTTCTGTGCCCCCATCTTCCTCTTTGCTTGGATAGAGATGATCAGTTTTCTTGTCCTGCTGCCCCTTCACCTCTGCCCCTTGTCCAGCATCCGCTGCCTCTGTGCTGTCACCTTCTGCTCCTTGGAGACCTCCTGGATGGCAGGGAATCGTTAGTTTGCCTCCTGGTGCTCCAAACACTGGGTACGATTCCAGGGTTATATTATGCTGGATACTCGTTGAAAATGAATGGTACATTTTTTAAGCTGGTGAGATCCCATCTGATAAGAATTTAATGCTAACCTTGTAAAGGATTGTTTTTCCTTTGATTCAAATATTCCTGTGGTCTTCTGATGAAAAATGAGACCCAAAGAAAGAGCTTTGAAACAGTTGAATCTGGTCATTGTTTTTCAAGGATCAAATGAAATGTGAGCTTGCATTAACTTTGTTAGTAGTCAAATGCTCAGAAGATGTAAGGCAGCATTATGTTTACAAGTCAGTATAGGTATGTTGAATAATGAAATATGTGAAATCACACTGTCAAAATAAAAGCACACTTACAATCTCGCCTTCTTTGCCTCCAAAGTCTAAATACAGCATCCGGGTCCCATCGTCTGAAGACATTTTGAGCTTCTCATAAGGCGACTGTATGATTGTCTTGGGAGAGGCACCCTCCTGTGGCTCAGTGGTAACAGTAAATCCATTCTCATAATGCACAGTCAAGCGACACTCCTGGTTTTTGTAGGTGCAAGCTGAGAGGAGGGAGAAAGAGAGAGAGGAGTGTGAAAGGTGGAAGTCAATCCATCGGTCCATTTTCCCATGCTCAGTACTTCCGGTCTCCTTCATCCCAGGACCGACCGAGCCACAGATTTCTTACTAAAGTGCACAAATAGTAATTGTTCATGAAGATATAATCCAAGATGTCCTTGGATTGATTTTGGTACTGCAATTTAACTCGGTACATATATCTGAGGGATATAAAGAAATTATTTCCTTTTGCTGGATTCACTGAATGTTATCTGGCTTCTAGTCCTTCTCTGGCCATCTGACAACACACAGGGAGGTACACTTGCCTTTCAGTGGGTACAGTGGCTTGCCATGAGCCAGAAAAAACAAACATTTGATTTAAATAAAGTAAGTCACGTCTGACTCATCATCGTCATCATCATCATCATCATCACCTCCAACACACACACACACACACACACCACATTGTCATGTCTGCCACTGGGTGGAAGAAGCAAGCATTCTCCCATTATTACCCAAGTTAATAGATGGAACACACTGAGGAGCTCAGGAGTGAGTTGTTTAAAAATAATGTAACTTTTTATTTTAAAAAGGCCTAAAAATGTTTGTTTCAGACATGGACAAAGGTGTCATTGCTGAGACAAAATACCTGATCCCCAAAGTTAAAGGGGGAAAGGTTTATTTAGCTCAGTTTGTAAAGGTTTTAGGGCATAGTTGGCTGGTCCCAAGGCAGGGTGGCATGGCAGAGGGGCATCATGGAGGAGAAACAGCTCATGGCAGGGCGGGCAGAAGGCAGCAAAGCAACAAGCCGCAGAAGCAGCAAGTGATGGCAACAGCCCTCTTTCCATCCCTTATATTCCATCCACTACCTACCCTTAGGGTGGGTGGCACTCACATCCAGGGTGGGGCACCCTGAATTCCAGCACCACACACTCTTGATCCAGCCACCTCCAAAAAGCCCCACCTATGACTGCATGAGTCTTTGGGGGGACATCTAGATACAAGCCATAACACAGGGGCTCTTTCAACTTCCCTGAGATCTTAGGTCACAGAGAAGCTGCTGCTTCAGACAGATGCCAGATGTGGCATTTTGTATGAAGGATGTTATGTCCTCCTGACCCTGTGTGGCATCCAGAGACCTCAGCAGTAGTACCCACAAGGCACTCTCCCATCCAGAGGACAAAAGGAAACCCCTGAGCAAGCGGGTGGATAATCTCACTGTGTTTAGGAAGAGTCTGGCTCTTTAAGCCTCTGGACCTGGACAGCAGGACAGCTACCAGGATCCTAGCTCCTATTTGGGAATAGCTGTGGGTATATCATTTAAAACCCTTAAAGAGTTGTGGAAAAGAATACTAGAGACTAGATTTTTAACCCGTCTTGGCAGTTCAATTGGTCCAGGCCTTGATCTACAATTAAATGATTTTTTAGGGAAATCAAGACACTTTTTTTGCTGGAAGGGTGGGAGAAGTAATAAGAGCAATACTGATTGCTCTAATATCATTAGCCATGCTCAGCTTTCTAAACCACACTGAATTCAAGCTTAGCACAAATTAGGGAGGAGGAATATTCCATCAGTATTATAGGACAAAAAATGCTTGGAGAGATGAATATGCTTGACTTTCAAAATTCAAGTTCTTTCCACTCTGTCTCATGTTTCTTTCCAGTGCTCCAGCACTTAGGATATGGAGGGATGTGGGGTGGGACCATGGCAAAGAGGTTCTCAGCTTCCTCCCTTATGAATGATGATAGTATGGTGTGGGAGACCTTCAGAATTTGGGGAAGGAATAGGGGATCTCTAGTGCTCACAGAAGAAGATGGCTTTTAACCAGAGCTCTCAGGAACACATGTACCCCTGCCCCTGACTTCTCCATCTTCCAGCTTATCCTGATTTCTCCCTAAGGGGTACTCTCTAAAAGGCCTGAGTCCTGCACAGGTCTGGGGGCCCTGCTCTCTTGCCACCCTTCCACTCCAACCATGACCAAGGACAGTAGCAATGCGACAGTGACAGCTGCCCATCTCAACTCCCCCTTTTTCATAGTCTACTTTCCTCCCTGCACAACATGCAAAAGGGCACTGAAAACACTTTTCCTGATTTTCCTCTGGTTTTGAACTTTAAAGTATGCCAATCAGATATTCTGAATTAACTGGTTGTGATTACTTTTAATTCCAGTTGACCTTAAATGGTATTTATGGCCTTCATATAATGGAATCAGTTATCTGGAGAGGTTCTCAGTCTATACAGGATAAATTGAATACATTACTATGATAACTGAACCCCTAATTAAGTTAGAAGGTCCCCTCCACCTATCTGTGGACATCTTTCAAGTTGTAACTCCGTTATACCTTTGTCCACTCCCATAATTTCTTCTGTGCTACAACTCAGCTGGCTCAGTTCATAAAATTATTTGTTATTCGCCTTTGGCCAGTCTATGAATAGCTTCATCATTTTCCTATCAACCAGAGTTCAGGTTATTTTTACAAAAGATTTTACAAAATTTGTGCAATGTGAACCAGACCAAATCCCTTTGACTTCCTTATTCTTTCCTAGAACACTCCAAGAATTGTTGCGTGGAGTCTGAACTTCGCCAGTATTACACATATAAATTTATTGAATTTGGTATTTGGTTGGTTTGGGCTGTTTCCAACTCTCAGTTTAAAAACTCATCTTTCTTACCAGATAGAATAGTTGTCAAAAAGAAAAACTTAGTCACAACTTAGCTTTAGTAACAACGTGGAACACTTGGGGGTACAAATTGGTTTCAATATAATTATGAAAAGGCTCTGATTACCTTGGCCATGACCCAGCAGCAATTCTACAAAACATTTGTTTTTTCATTTTTGTATGAGGAAACTTGGAAAAACCCCAGCACAAGGTGCTCTTTGTCTATCTTTGGAATACTCCTGGGTGATGAGAAGTTGTGCTCTGGTGGAATACTACTCAAAGAATTGTCCGTGGGCCAAGGCATCTGTGCCACCTAGAATACGGTTAGACACCAATTCTCAGGCCCTACTCCAGGGCTGCTGACACTGAATCTCTGGGCATGGGGCACAGGCGGCAATCTGAGACTCTTGAGAATGGAACTAAAAACTTTATCATTGTCATTCTTTTTTTCAGTGCAGCTAATGTTTGGAAGCATCATTTCTAAATGTCCTGTGGAAAACCTTCCTCCAGAATAGGGTGGTACAGTAGGAGAACTTCTTGCCACGATGGGACTGTTTCATATTCATGCCATCCGTATGGTAGCCACTGGACACATGAGGCTACTGAGTGCTTGACAGGTGGCTAGTGCAGCTGAGGAAGTGATTAAACTTTAATTAATTTAAATGTATATCATCCTAAAGAGCTTATTATATAGGACAGCACAGGCTTAGACATGTGAGGGCTAAAATTGTCTGTTGGATTGCCTTGAATGCCACCTAGGGGATGAGCAAAGCACACTTCTGAGTGTGTCGGGGGAGGGTCACAGAGGTAATACATGTGACCTCTGGCCCCTTCCTCTCTGACACTGATCTCTTGCACTGCTTCCTGGCTGCCATGAATTGAACATGTTTATCCTGCCACACCGTTCCGCCATGATATTTCTCTCTTGAGGTAGCCAACCATGAAATGAATTATTTCTGTCATGGTTTAGACCTAAAATGTCCTCCAGAAGACTCATGTGTTCAAAGATGAGGCTTTGGAAGGTGAATGGACCATGGGGGCACTACATTATTTTGTGGATTGATCCAGTGTTGAATTCGTATCTAAATGTGCTGTTGGGAGTTGGAGTCTTGCTGGATGGGGTGTGTCACTGGAGGCATACATTTGGAGTTTATATCTCCCACTCTGGCTCCTCCTCCCTCTGTCTGATTCCTGGCTGCCATGAGGTAAGCAGATTTCCTCTCCCATGTACCTCCACCATAATGCTTTTGCACTGAACACCATAAACAGAATCCCTCAAACCATGAGCCAAATCAAACCTCTTCTCTTTTAAATTGTGGGTTTTAGGTATTGTGTCCCAGTGACAGGAAATCTAATACAGAAAATTGTTGTGACTATACTTGACCATGTGTCTTGGAAGGCTTTGGAACTAGTTTGAGGGAAGTGTTTAGAAAAGTTTGGAGATGGCTGAAGAAGCCATAGGATGCTGGAAGCAGAGACTGATGGGTGATTCTCACTGGACCTGAGAAGACCAGAATGGCGATAAGAATGAAGAGAGTAAAGGCCAGGTTCTTGATGTTTCAGTTAGGAATGAAGACTTCATCGGCAATTAGATTAAAGGCCACATGTGTTACACCCTAGGGGGAAAAAAGTCTCCATTTTGCCCATGTCCTGACACTTTGCAGGAGGCTGAGATTAAAGATGGTAGACTAACTGATCCAGTGGAAGAAATTTCAAGACAATCATTATTCAGGCTCTAGCGTAAGTTTTGGTGTTTGCTTTAGGCAAATTTATAGTGATAATCAGTCGCACAGAGCAGAAAGAAATATTTGGAAAACTTAAATTTTGGACCAAAAGGGACCACATGTAAAGTTGAAGGCAAAGGATGTGTGGTTGCTAAAGAGATTAGCACCATCTAAAGGAAACCAAGTACTTTGAACAGGGACATGAAATAAGATGCCTTCAGGGCATCTCAGAAATCTGCAAGACTACACCCATTGCAGGCTCAAGGGTGCAAAAGTATTAACCTTTCATTTGTGAAGAAAGTTCACAGCTAAGAGTTTGCCTTGAGTCTCAGAAGACACTTTGACTTTTGGAATGTGGAAAGTGTTGAGACTTTGGAGAAGGTGTTACAGTGATACCTTGATTGTCAAGCTCAGTTTGTTCCAAATTTGTGTTCAAATACCAAAAAGTTCAAGAACTGAACATATTTTTCCCCTAAGAAATAATGGAAAACCAAATAGTTGATTCTGAGGCCCAAAAATTACACTTATAAATTCATTTTTCCAGAACTTTAACAAATTTTACAATGATGTCTTTCTTTAACTCTATTGTGGTTCTTATAGTTTTTCTCTTAGCTTTACTGCTGTTATCACTACCTTTCTTTGGAGCCATGGTTACAATATTTTATGCAAACAAACTGCAAAAAAAGCACAGTGATGAATGATTTATGCACTAACACAAGTACCGGGCAATAGTGCTTAGACTGAAGTGTCACCCCTTTGTGTCTGTGGTGAGACGCTATGCATGACTCACACTTGGCTGTACAAGTTTTTTCAAGTCGGACTTTCAGTTCTACTACTGAGCAAAGTTACAAACACCGAGCAGAGTTTTTCAAAGTTTGCCGTTTGAGTAGTGGAAAGTTCGAGTTTGGAACTGTTTGATGACTAGGGTATTATATTTTTGGCTGTACACAAGATACTTATATCTTGTAAGGTGGAATTATTAGCTTATTATTGTGTTTATTTTGATACTACATAGAGCTTAACTAGATGTGTTTGGGTGTCAAGTTGCAAGGATTGGGATGTGACAATTAAGACTGTCAACTTGATTATTTTGGGAACTGCCTAGAGGATTAGTGAAACACACTTCCAGGTGTGTCTGGGTTGGTCATGGAGGCAAGATCCTGGGTACTACATATGGCTTCTGGCCCCTTCTTCTCTGGCACTGTTCCCTTGCTCTGCTTCTTCCTCTGCCATGGTTTTTCACTGTGATGATTCTTCTTAGGAGCCAGTTAATCACAGACTGAATTCCCTGAAACCATGAACCAGGTTAAACTTCTCCTCCTCTAAGTTATGGGAGTTGTGTATTTTATTCCAATGACAGGAAAGCTAACTAATACAGGAAATAATAATTATAAGAACAGCAACTAATAATAATACTTATTGAGGACAATTCTAGGAGGTGAGTCCTGCTGTTTGTATTAGTAGGTATTATTTGTCCCTCTTTTTATAAATGAAGAAACTAAAAGATTAAGTAAGTGATTAAAATAGAAATAAAACTGGAGTTTGCATCCAGATCTTATGAATTTAAAATTCCCACTTGCGACTATACCCTTGTGCTGTTTCCTCAGAGACAGAGAAATGGAAAAACAAGAAGCAACCCTAACAAAGTCCAGGTTACAGTTATCAGAAGAATGTTGCCGACCATGCTGTGGCTGTGTCCCACAGTGGCCTCTCTGTGTGTGTCCACAGGAGACTAGAAGAGGCTGGCCATGGCTCTCGGAGCCCAAACCAATATGCCTTAGATCTCGGAACTGGGAATAATAGTAGAGATACTGCAATTGTGTATTGTGTTGGCTGAGGAACAACATTGGCTTAAATGTGGAGGCCACATTAGCAAATATACAAGATTTTATAGTATGCATTTTGTTTATTATCATTACTTTCAATTCAAATTACTTTTTCAGTCTCTTTTCTTTGCCCAATTAAAAAAGTTAAATCAACCATACTTCTCTCGTGTGTTGACATGTTTATCATCTGTCCATCTACCATCTGTCTGTTTTAGAGAATCGCATGAAAATTATTTATCACAGCAGCCTGAACAAAGCTGGTGTTTGCTGGCTCCCTGTTCCAACAGTGGGAGGTGCCATGTCTCCATAGCTACTGCAGGGTGAGGAATGGACACAGGGCAACACAGCCTAGAGCTAATGTCGGTTCTGTCACCTTTGGCTGTGTGCTCTTGGGCAAGCTACTTAACCATTCTTCAGAATTTACTTCCTGATTTGTCCAGATAAGAAGGGAGCTGTGGAGATCAGCTGAGTTAGGCAGGTTACTGGGGTCCAGGACACACAAGCCATGCGTGTATAGAATGTGAAAACAATATTAACATTGATACCTCTATTCCATTTTATTTCCCTTTTAAAACGTGGACCTTGCCTCAATTAGTTAATTTGGGATACACGCAACATTTTTTTTTCACTGCATGGAAAAACCCCAGATATTACATAAAATGCCCAGTATGCAGTAGGTAGAAGTAAATGGTGGAGTATAGCATGGTTTACCACTGAGATTTAAGTGCCTAGAAAGGCCGGTGACAGACGCTCCTCTGAGGCCAAGGTAGAGTAGAGGGTGTGAGTTCATGTAAAGTTACGACACTGGTGGCCATAGCCAGCAGTACTCACCAGTGGTGACTTCAGCAATGAGCTCAGCTGAGTTGTGGCATCCCTGCACTATGCTCCTTGTCCACTGGGAGAGGTCCTTGCTGACCTCTGCCCGGAAGAGATGGGTTTCAATTCCTTGCTTGGTGCCAGTTCGTGTTGCAAAGGACAGCTCCAGACCGGCCTGGGGTGAGCCCTTCCCAGGCCCCGAATGGACTAGCCTGGAGAGAGAGAGAGAAGTTATCATCAGAAGGGACACTTGTCTATCACCTGCCACACCCCTGGTAAAACCCCGGAACTGGTGACCTGCTCTCATTTTTATGACTTGGAACCAGGGGACCCACCATACCCTACTCTTCCCCATGGTTGCTGCTATCTTTCCTCCAATGGTAGAGTGAAATTAAGAAGCATCCAAGGGTTGTGCACTTGGTCGTATACCCAGAGAATTTTAACTTGTGCAAATTCAACTATCCTTTTGGCCAAAAAAGAAAAGAAGTAAACAAGAGAGAAAATAATTTAAATGCTGTATAAACCTCTTCCCATCCCATTCCTGAGTGCATCTGTATAAAATGACAGGTAGGAGCATGCACAGGCAAGGTAAGTCTGCTGTACTGAACAGAGTGTGAGACTCAGTTTCCCTGTGGCTCGTACTGTGAGAAGATCTGGCGGCATTGAACGTACTTCCAGGTGTGCACTTTTGTCATCTAACAGCCTTCAAATAACCTGGAATTCAACTGAAGAAGAGCAATCCGCTTATCTGCTAAAGCTAGAGGAAGAACAAGGCTGGACTTCTCGAGAAATGGTAGAGAGCTGCACGTTAGTGGTATGGAAGAGATTTTCAAGAGATTCTTCTACCATGCAACACTTTCACACTAAGTTTAGAGCTTACCCTTGGCATAAAGCGTGACTTCTACAGTAAATAATTTTCTCAAAGGCCCAGATTTAAAGTGTTAAGAATCAGAGTGCTCTGGGTGCTACTTTGAACACACCCTCTCCTGCTCCGTGGTTTGTCAATGTCCTTCGGGGACAGGCTCTCCTATCCCTATTTGCAGTGCAGCGGAAGGATAATTTGATAAATGCTACTTCCCTCCAGGGTGTTTGCATTTTCATCCTTATCTTTGCATACAGAAAGGGACACTTTACCACTTGCTAGAGAAATGACAGGTGTCTGTTCACAGGATGGACAGGGAGTTATTTTCTCAGGCAAAGAGCTTACTACCTTTCAATTAAAAATAGGTTGAAAGGAATCGAAAAGCTCATTTTGTCTTGTAAACCTAAATGCTGCAGAACACCATTACCAATGGAACAAAGCAGATGCTAGCCTGTTGAATTTCTAGAACAAGGCTGTTGGGTAATTCTAAGGGTCTTTCTTCCCTTATGAAGTTGGAATTTGGCATAAGGGGTGGTTTGCAATGCCAACTCAGAGAGAAAGGTTATCTGGAAAGCCGGGAGGTATGGTAAAGACATGGAAGTTCATGGATCTCGTGAGGCCAGAGCCCAGGGCAGTGGGAGGGGAAGGGGCTGCTGGTGCGGGCTCACATGCATGGGCTTAACACGAAGGGGTTTGGTCTAGTTTGCACATGCGGAGGAGGGCACTCTGGAGTGAGAAGTGAGCTAGAGGGGCTGAGAAAGAGCTGAGGATTCAAAATCAAGCAAGACCGGGCCAGGGATGTAGCTCAGTGGTGCTGCGCCTGTCTGGCAAGCGCAAGGTCCTGAGTTCAATTGCTGGTACCAGAAAAACAAACAAAAAATCAAGCAAGAATAAAGAAAACAGAAGGCATTCTCTACAGTCTTGTAGGAGTTTGAAAAGGAGGCAGGACCAGGTGAAAACATATTAGGACCGGATATCCACAGGAGGCAAGAATGAATGTTACGTTTTCTTAGTCGCTCAGGGTTTTTATACTCAAAGGGCCTTCATTTCAGTTGCTTTAAGAACTAGAATCACCTTTCCCTTTTGAAAACCTTAAAATCTGTATCAGTCAGGCAAGATGGCAGGCTGTGGGTTAAGCTGAACAGGGACAGGTTTGGGAAGAATAAAGCACTGCATTAGAACCGCGTTTATCCTGGCTGCCTTGTGTCAAAGTTTTGAAGTGTTGTGAAGGTCGAATAATCCGTGCACTGAGCCAGCCCAGAGAGCAGCACGCTTTAGACTCAATAAATATCTCTACTCTTTTCACCAGCCCGCAGTTTTCAGGTTTTTGTAAAGTAACAACCGGTTCTCTTACAAGAACCTTGCCTGGCCTGGTGCTGCTCTTTTCCCTGGCCTTCATTTGCATCCGGGTGAGCTCATCTCTGTGCCAAGCTGAGGCGGCATAAATACAGCTCAGTGGTAGAGGCACACCGAGAAAAAGATGAGCAACTCTCAGGGAGGACGCAGTGAGAGTGTGTGCGTGTGTGCATGTGAGTGCGTGTGTGTGCGAATTTCCAACTGGTATTTGTTTTTCTTGAGAGAGACTGTAATTAAAATGGAAGCCAACAGTAACTGGAAAATGCAGTTTGTTAGAAAATTCACATTTGGTCGCTCTAAGGATGAGGAGTGAAATCATTCACAGGATGTGATGGGTATGAGAAAGCCTGAGTCAGGCTGGCACATGCCATGTTGCTGGCACTTGACAGAGATGCCCAGCGTGGTACCAGAAGAAATGATGAAAATAACCCCTTGGAGATAAGATCATCTCTGTTAGTTCATCATTAAATTGTCATTGATTGAAAACAAAAAGAAAAGGAAAAACTGATTTTTCACCTAACCAAGTGTGAATTCTCTAATATTTATATTAAAGAACAGGGTCATTTGCCATCTACGGAATAGCAGACGTGGATTATTTTGCCCGCTTCTGAGTGTGCCAATATGTATGTATGTATGTTCTGTGTGTAAACCCTGAGGCCAAAGCCAATGTTGTTTCTGTTGCCTGGTGTGCATGCTGGTAACAAGAGGACACTTTCTCCAGGCCGAAATGCAAAGAAATATGTTAGATATTGACTGCACCCATGGATGCACATCCTTGGGCTAGAGTATGATGCAGACCTTTACGAATATTTTATAAATACTGTATGAGACCTGGAAAAAAATATTACCGTTCTGAATATGTAATGCAACTATGTAAAAGAAAATCCAGGCAATGAATACATTTAAATACTGAGCAATTATATAGGTGATCTCATTTCTTGCATTTTTTTCCAAAATTTCCTCTAAGCAGCACATAGTACACAACTGAAAGATTAGCTTTAAACACCTATGAGACTGGGGCTGAGGATGTAGCTCAGTGGTTCTGCCATCTACCTCACAAGCGCAAGGTCCCGAGTTCCATCCCAGGTACCAATAAATAAATAAATAAATAAAATGCTATGAGATTGAAATGAACTCATTTCATTGCCAGAACCAGAACGTCTGTGCTCAAAAGACATGGATTCCGGCTCAGGATGTCCTCAGTGTTTTGCTTGTTGTTTAACGTAGTGGCAATTCCGAGCTGGAATCCTAAATCACTCCTCGATGCTTCCCTGCATTTGTCCGTGCCTGGGTTATTCTAAACTGCCCCTGTCCAGCTCCCGCAGGTGGTGGCTATGAAGCGTGCCCCTCAGACAATGGTCAAAAGAGTCAAGTACTCAAAACCACTTTGTAGAGTGCATTGTGAGGCAAAATTCAAGGCTATTTCCTCTGGAAAAGAGGAGGCTCTGTGTGAGGGTGGTGGAAGAAGGTGGTTGTGTGCAGACACTGACGTGGCCCCGCGAAGGCTGGCCTCTCCGGGGTGCCAGAGCTTTCTCCCCGTCAGCCAGCAGTGCCACTGAAGCTGCCTCTGGGTGTGGCCCATCCAGGGAACTGCGCTTGGGGAGGATTTGCTTCTCGGGGCTGAGCTGGGGCAGGAACATTTCCAGCAAGGCCGAGTCTGCCTCAGCTCGCGCAGCCAGCAAGCGCTGGACCTCAGCAAGGCTTGCTGCTCGGCTAGCAAAGCTGACAGCTCCTGGGTAAGAGGATGTTGGGGGGAACCCGACCACCTGACCCCCTCCCCTGGACCCCATAGTCATCCACAACCCCCTCACCCACTGTGTCATGATCAGCACGTCGCAGACCTCAGGATCCTTCAGAGCAGGGGCCGGGTCAAATCCCTCCTCGATCCTACGGGCTAAGCCATTGGTGGCGAACCTTTTAGAGCCTTCTACGATACAAACAGCCCGCTGTGGCGTGCGCCATAGGTTCACCACCACTAGTCTAAGCACACTACCCTACATGGTAGGCGTTCAGTGAAGCTTGGCTGAACAGCTCCATGTTATTTCAAAATATTTTTAAAAATCCAGTTCAATTTTGCAAAGGAAAGCATACACGCATACACATAATTGATCTATTTTGAAATCTTTTGAAATTTGGGGCCGGTAAAAGGTCTCACTAATGGGCTCTTCATTTGTGGAGAACACTTGGGAACACATTAGTGTACCAGGTCCCAGGCCCTGAGTGCCACATAAATGTCAGCAGACATTAAGATCTCAGAAGCCTTCTCATCTGGGCATTTGGAAAGGTAGGGCTGGAATTTGTCCGCCCGGATTTCTCCCGTTCTGCCAAGAACAGTCTTTTTATGTCCTCCCAAGAATCTTGGCAAAGATCAGCAATCTCAGGGGCATTCTGAAATAGCTATTATTTATCTTTCAATTATTTTGCAATTTGAGCTATTTGTGTATCCTGAAAATATGACCACCTGTCTTTTATCTGTAGCAGGAACTAAACTACAACCGAGAATACTCTGTGTTACAGGAGAAAGGAACTTCTTCACCCCACCAGGAAGAAAATGCTGGCGTCCTGGGCTTTCAGGCTGCTGTTCACACCCGATTTCCAGGTTTCCTGAGAAACCCAAGGACAGACACATTGCCCATGGCTGGATGAGTGGCCATGAACCTAGCAGGGTTCTACATCCGGTTACCAGGAGGGTGTGTGGGTGAGAAGAGCACACAGGACACATCAGAGCACAGAGCGGGGCGGAGGAGCAAGCACAGGCGTGGAGAGGTGGAGTCAGCTGCCTGGTCTCCGACCCCACTTCCTACCAGGGTAACTCCCCATGGCTCAGTTTGCTCAACTCTGACTGGAGAAGATGACCTGATCGCCTCACGGTGTTATAAGGAATAAGCAAGGTAATGTGGACACAGAACACACTGTCACAGCTGTCACTGTCATTACAAGGTAGGTTCCGTCAGGGCAGGGATTTTGATTATTTGCTGATGGATCATTAGGGCC